TAACAAGTAAGGTGAACTGGAAATGTAAAGTGAACTAGAAAATCTAATCTCAGTGCCAGAAATATAAATGTGAACATTGTTTTTCTATAAGACACTAAAAGTAAGTGCAGCAGTGACAAAACTGCATGAGAGCAAACAACAAAAACCTCGGACTCTACTTCATACTCTAGCCTATGAGTTCTTATTCGCTGAGCATTTCGATGAGAAGGACCCGACCAAATTCTGAAACTCAAGATTACAGCCCAGTGAGCCAGTTACCAGGTTAGCATAGAAAAGAAATTCTTCTTGAAGGAGAGTGAAGGTTCAGAACTTCTGCACGTTCACCCGTTTCTAATTTGCTGAGCTGTAGCCAATCACAGAAAACATGTTCTGTACATCATCGCTGCTGTCTGCTGCATTTGAAGATTCCTTAATCATTAAGAATCCATTTATTCACTAAATGAGAATTTCAAACTTCCAGAATTATAGAAATTACTATAAGCAAGTGACATTTACAGGCTGCTATAACACGGCTTTCCATCAACAGTTTTCCCAAAAGCCCACACTTAATGGCTGCACTAGTAGATAAAACGATAATAAATCATAAAACATCTAACTGTACAACTTTCACATAGTATGGCCTCTGAAAGTACTGTGAAGCCTTCACCTATAGCAGGAACAAAAGGAATGTAAAAGGACAGAAAGAATATTACTGTTGACAACAGAAAGACACAAACTTGGATAGTTATATGCATCACAGTGGCCTTTCTATAAAGTCCCACAAGCCTTGAAACCCCCATGAAAATGTCATATAAGGTGGTACAGGCATCCCAAGCAGTGAAGCTAAGAGAGAAATTGCATGTATAGCTGCTCAGATTATCTGTCTGCTTTCCCAGAAATATGTTTGTTTCTACTAGAAATCATAAGTAAACTATTTCTTAATAAGTAGAATAGTGCACAAAATTTTATCTTTCTATATATGTGTGTTTCTCTATGCACATCTATCTAAATATCTGTTTGTAAAAAAAAAAAAAAATGCTCCCTGAATGAGAGAAGAGTTTATAGGTAAATTTATTTTGATTCAGTTTGGAGAATCACATTGGCTGAAAAATATTATCTTCTTGTAGATGGGAACTCAATTTATAATCCTGTGTCCAAAAATTATATAAAGATGGCTAGTTTAAATGTAGTTATTAGACTAGAGGAAATGACTATCGGAGAGAAAACAGATCAGCTTATCCACCCTTTTTCACCACGCAGACTGGGAAAAATTAAGTCATATAAGGAGGATGCAAAGAATAAATGCTGGGGAAAAGACCAAAAAGAAATATTTTTGGATGAAAACAGACAATGTTAAAAAAGTAAGTCACAGGACTGGAAAGGTAGATTAGTAGTAAAGTGTTTGCTTGTGTTCAATCTCCAGCAGCCACACAAAAAACCAGGTGCGTGTCCTGTGTCTGTAATCCCAATGCTAAGGAGTTGGAGGCAAGAGAATTCTAGGGCCCATGGACCAGCCAGACCCACCCAGTTGGGTAGTTCCAGGCCAATGGGAGACAATGTGAATGGTGACTGTGGAGCAACACTGGAGTTTGACCACACAACACAGAGAGAGAGAGAGAGAGAGAGAGAGAGAGAGAGAGAGAGAGTTAATTCTTTCATGAGTAGACTTTACTTTGAGAAAGCCAAGACAACTGTAATTATTATCATGGTATATGGGATAAAATAATCCTCTCATGTTGTAAAAATAAATAAAAAATAAAACTGTCATACTAGTCTGGTCCCCATGTTTGAAAGAGTTGCTTTTGTGAGTGTGTGTCCTGCTAATGAGATGTTAGGATAGGAATGACTTTCTCAGTTTTCCCCAGGAAAGGAAAGCTGCTGGCACTGAACCCACACTGACTTTGTAAGGATGATGATCGTTTTATAAGAACCTGAAATCACCCCTTGATACTGTAATACTCTTCTGCCGCCAAAGCTGGGTGCTAGTGTTTTTGTCGTTGCTTTTGCTTTGTTTTATTGCAACCAGCATCTGTCAGAGTGAATCATGTTACTTCCAGAGTAACTGTATTCTCTCAGTACAACATAAGAAAACCAAAAACAATCACATTATGCAACCTCCCACAAAGGCTACTCATCTTCCTGAAGCCAAAGCTACAGGTGACATCGGAGCCTAGGTTGTTGTGATGGATGCTGGCCCAAAGGACTTGCGGGATTTCGTGTGCCCAACATACATTCTGCTGATCAAAACCCCAGTCCTTACTGATATAATGGTGTGGCATGGCTGCATCTCTCAAGTCCCCTCCCTATGCTTTCAGTCGGGCCTAGAAAGGACAGGTGTGCACTGAAAGTTATTATTTCCTCAACAAGGAAATAATAAGCCGCTGCACCAGAATCCACACTGGCTCCTGTCACAGGGATGTCAACCGCCCATGTGAGCTTATGAAGCTGGTTTAAAGGATCCTCAAACAAGTTCTGAACTGTGAGTATTAGTCATATACCATAATTAAAAACACAGAGTATGTGAGGGGAGAGAGAAGAGGAAAGAGAAAGAGACAGTTTCCCTTTCCCTTCCAGTGGTTGAGCTCAGAAGAACAAGCGTGCTACCGTACGCAGAAAGCATATAGGCAGAAGGAGGTGCAGATTCAAAGAATTTGCCAGTGGTCCTAACCTAATAAATCTTCAAGTCACCATAGATTGGGCCATGAGGCAAGACCACCTCATTGCTGTCGAGTTCATGAGAAATTTGATAGCGACTTCAGCCTCACTATGGTAGTCTCATTAAAACCTTCTACATCTCGTTGCTTAAGCCTCACACATTCTCCAGAAAAACTGCTGACTCAGAAAGGAGAAGTTTATAAATTATTGGTCATTTTTTCCACTGAGCACTACCTCAAAATATAGTAGCAAAGGAAGCAGATACTGAATTGTTTCCAAGGCTTTGTTAAGTCAGTGGCTGCCCTGGCTAACTTTAACTGTCACCATAACACAGCTTAGAGTCATGTGAAATAATAGCCTTGATGTAAGAATTGCCTAGATCAGACTAGCCATGGGCATATATATGAGGGATGGTCATGATTGTTACTTGATTTGGGAGAGCATAACCTCCTGTGGGTAGTACTATCCCTAGACAGGTGGTCCTGAACTGTATATGAAACCTAGTATAAGCTGGCCTATGAGCCAGCAAGCAGCACCCACCATGGCTCCTTCTGTACATCTTGGCTGTCAAGTGAGTCCTTTGGTCAGAAATAATAATGTGTGGAATAGCAGGCAGGCCTGCCTTTAAGTTTCTACTTGAGTTCCTGCTGCAATGTCCCTAAATAATGGACTGTGTTCTAGAATTCTAAGCTGAAAGGAAACCTTTCTTTCCCTTGATGTTTTTGGTTACAGTCCTTGTCACAGCAACAGAGGTCAACCCAGAGCAGTTGTCTCCAGAGGCTGCACGAGGTCTTCTTGATTTTGTACTACATTTATTTTTATTTATTTATGTATTTATCATTTTTTGTGGGGAGGGAACAGATGTCATGAACACATGTAGTGTGGACAAACTTAGGTCAACAGGCTTGACAGTAGAGGCCTTTAGACGCTAACCCAACTAACCTACTGCTCAGTTTCTAAAGACTGACACCACACCTGTCAGGCACATATGGACCTCTTCTAGATAACAGGGACTGAGGGACTAGAGAGATGGCTCAGTGACTGAGAGCCTGCTGCTCTTGCAGAGTGCCCAGGCTCAGGTCCCAAGGCTCATTTGGGTAGTCACAACTGCCTGCAACCCCAGTTCCAGGAGATCTGACACCCTCACCTGGTCCTGCAGGCATCTACATGCATGGGGTACATATGAACAAATAGAGGTACATGTGTGTGTTTACATACCACATCAACAAAAATCAAATAAATAAGGAGGCTGAGGCTGCCTGCGGTCTAAACATCTTATATGCCAAGAAGCATCATAACCAAAAGCAGACATGAAAATAAACAACAGCAGGTAAACTGATTTCATAATAGAATAAGTTTTTCATGGAAACAAAACAGTGGAGGAACAGAATAACAACACAAAATAATAACTATAATCTCAGAGTGACATTGTCTGTATCTAGAAAAGTTACCTATGGTGGGCATAGTTTATGAAAAACCTATTGAACCTGCAGCTGGGGAGATGATTTAGTAAAGTGCCTGCCACGCAAGTGTGGAGACCTGAGTTTGGAGACCAAACATTCATGTAAAATACCAGGCATTGTGACATGTGCCTACAATCGCAGCACTAGAAGATGTGGGAGAGGAGGTTGCGTAACAGGTGAATCACTGAAGCTGACTGGCCAGGAAAGCTAAAGTGACCAGCTTCAGGTTTAGTGAGAGGCCCCATCTTAAAAAAAATAAATAAATATAGGTGGTGGAGCTGGGAAGATGGCTTTGCAGTTAAGAGCAGCCCTTACGCCTCTTATAGAGAACTGAGTTTCAATTTCCAGCACCCACATGACAGCCACAACCATCTGTAACTCTAGTTCCAAAGGATCCAATACCGTCTTCAGACCTGCACAGGCACCATACATGAATGTGGAGTACAGATATACATGCAAGCAAAACATAATAATAGTTATTGTTTGTATATTATATAAATACTATATAATTATACTAATAACATTGTTTTTATATGTCAATGACACAAAAAGTCAGGAAGCAATACCCAATGTCTATATCTCACTTCTACACACATTTATACCTTTATAAGTATATATAAAGTATGCATGTGCACACAGCACATATACAGAAAGGAATTCAGGTATACATAATTGGACAACACTGTCATTTTCATGAAAAAAAATAAAAAACTGAAAAAGATAATATGAATTTAGGATTCCAAATTAATGGGTCCTAAAGCAATTTCAATGTAATAAGTAAGATTCATAACACAGGAAAACCACAGGGATAAAGAGGAAGTCAATCCTATAACAACTGTCATATTATTTTTATCAATCAAACACAGTGCAGTGCAGAAATGGAGTGGGCCTTGATTTCCCCACCTGTTTCTCCGTGAGGATGACTCTCCCTAGTAACTGATCCTCCAGGCCTTTCATAGTAACAGTGAAGTCAATGATGGAGGTCCGAGCACTTATTTCTGGGGTGTAGGCTGGATTTGGCAGCTTGGTAGTAATGTAAAGTTTAAAGCCATCCATAACATCTACTTCCTTGTCGCCAACTTTCACCTTTTTATAAAAAGAAAGGTAAACAGAGGAGAGATTCACCTGAGTCCTTTCCATATTGGATCAGTTATTGCTTTGATCAATGTGTAAATGGTTATGATTTTTATAGTAAGACGTAAAAAAATTGTCATTAGATGCTCACAGAGCTTTAAGACCCTAGAATAAAAGAGAAGAGGCAGGGAGGGAAGGAGGAAGGGACAAAGGGAAAAAGAAAGCAGAACAGCTAAGAGTTCTAATCATACTATGTAATGGGTACAGAATTTGTGGTCAAAAGTGTTTTGAACAAGTCCAGAAGCTAAGAAAGAACTAGCCCAAATTTGACCAGAGGTTGGGAAGGCTTAATATCCACAAACTGAGGTTTGAAAAGTCATACAAGTAAGACCCAAAAATGTCTTGGGAGAGCAGAGCAGGCTCACTGCTATAGAATTTATGGCAGTCAAGGGATGGGGACAGGAGGAGGATTCACATACATGGACTGTGTGGCTTGAATTTTTAACCAGTACCATGTACTTATATCAAGGATTTCATAAGTGTGCCAATATCTGGAAGGAAGGAAGATGGGATATGAAGGATCTTAAAGTTTTCAACAGTTAAGGATCAAAATAGAATCTGTTTCTGTTACAGAAGTAAAGTAGATAAGCATTAAAGAACTGTTCTTCAATAATTCAGCCTCTATTCAAGAAGAGCAGAAATACATTTCCCCACAGTTGTTCCTTCTTGAAAAAATTCTGTCGCATCTTTAATTGTTCTGCATATTGTTATCAAGGAGTTTAACCTACCTTAAATGTAGATCCAGTTTTAATGAAATTTTTTTCCAAAATATTGTCCAGAGCGGGATCTAATTCCTCCCCAACATCTTCTATCAGCAAAGGCCTTCCAAGGGAAAGGCTGTCCTCCAGGTGGTTTCTAAAGTACTTATGGTTTAGAGATGTGATCTAAAATCAGATGGCACCACGAGGTTACTTTGGACTGATGGGCTCACGATGCAATACACAGTAATAATCACAAACACTTTAAATACTGTGGCACAGGAAACAAAGACTTAGAAATCCTTTGAATTGAAGCCATGCTATGTGAAAGGGTGCAGGAAGCTTAAACTGTTTCCATTCTACCTTTAATAGACTAGTCACCTAGCAGGACGCATGTGATGGTGGTGTGGGACATCTCTGCTTCTTCCTGGCCTCCACCACCCCTGCTGGTGGACAACTCGAAGTCTGTCTGTAAGCATGGCACATGTAAAGTGACATGACTCTGCGCTTTCTGACCACCAAAGAAAGCTGTGGCCTTAACAGATGAACCTGACTCACTGTAACAAAAATGCAAACAATAAGGTCATGGAAAATTTTGCTATTAGACATAAGCTTACATCTCTATTTAGGATTCCAAACAAAACCTGTAAGATATAGAAATATTTCCCTCTTTGGGGGGTAGGAGGTCTCTATAAAGAAATACAATTTGATGTGTATAAATGTACTCAAAGAAATACCTGCAGTTCATTTTGGCTTTCTTTATTTTTAATCCAGATCTTCCCTTGAGTCTGAGGATCAATTAACAAAGGATAGCGTGATGCTTTTGTGACAATAATTCCATTCTGAATGGACAGGTCATCATTTGGAAGGCCTTGTAGGTTCCATTCGCTGATAGTAGGGGCATCAATCAACATCTCATTAAGATTTAGATCATTCCCAAATGGAATTTTACGGGCTTTCATTTCCTTCTTCCAATCATTTAACAGCAGATCTCGAAACTCTTGGTTAAATGGACCAGAATATGATAGAAAAGCCGTTGCGAGCAACACATCCCCTAAAATGAAAAGCAAGCACCCTTAAAATATTTTGTGACCATCCATGAAATTGTATAACTCACTAAAATTGAAAAAAAAAGAATAAAAAACAACAACCATTTCTTTTAAGCTAATATCCACAAATCAACCTATAGTCACAGACTGCAAATGGCTTGAAAAATAAGCATGGGTTTGACTGACTGTTGAACAGAGTCTAAATGTCTTATCAAGAAAAACTGTCAGAAGTTAAAAATCAGGTCATCATAACTTTGTGGTATGAGAGTGACTTTAAAAACCCAGAGAAGACAGAGCCTTCATCGACTTGCCATTGATCAATATCCCCACACTTTCAGAAATATTTGAAACTAATAATAAGAGTTGTAAAGGTCAGTCATTAACCCATCAAGTCAGAACACATACGTACCAGACAATTACCCTCCTCCTTGAAATGCTTGCAGACACACAAACACACATATTGGAGTGTGAAATAAGCAAGTGTTGTTTGACCAAAGCTTAAGGATTCTGACTCCATCACAGTCAACCCACAGTTTCACTAAGAAAAGATTTTACAGACCTACAAGTCGTTTCGTTTGTGCAGCGAACTCTTTGCTTTGTTCCGTCCACCGTTCCTTTTCACCTGCCAGGCCCCTGATGAGCGTGGATGCTGTCTGCATCTTATGCCTACACCGCTCTGCATCTTCTAGCAAGGTCTGGAGAAGGCCAAAGAAGAGGGAAACCTTTACTCAGAACAAAGCAACAGATGCGGGGTTGGGGGTGGGGGGAGATTACCAGGATGTAAAATGAAAAAAAAAAAAAAAAAGCAACAGATACAACCTCAACTGCCTCAACTGTGTGACTTTAAAATTTTTACTGTCTGCCTTTCTTGGGACATGGAAGGCCCATTACACAGGTAACAGATTCTAACTCCATATACCTGTGCTGGCCTGGTCTTGACTCTGGTTCCCTGCCCAATGCCTTGAGCCCAGCAGCCAAATCCTCCCCAGGTGTTGATAACACAAAAACGATGGACATTTTTTCAGTCATTAGTAATGTCACACATGATAGTATCATGTAACACAAAGTATGTAAACTATTCAAATTCTTAGGAAAAGGCAATTACGAATATCTCTCATCTTAAGCCCGCATGTCATCCATGCTTCATATAAGGCCACAACTCATTTCACCTCAGAAGAAGCTTAAATTACCTCCACCTCACTGTACCCCAAGGCTCCTATGTCAAAGTCAGCCTCATCTAACTCATCATATATTCCTTAGCTGTTCCTTGAGACTGAAAAGATACTTTAATGCAGACTTCCACATATTATGGTCACTCAGAACCCAATCCTGTCTCCAATTTCTGATGCTAGTGATAGAATACAAGGGCATACTAGACATGTATGTTGCTGAGCTATCCTCCCAGGCCCAAATACTTGTCATCTATGTTTAAGAGATGGCTTCTAGATCTACATATGAAGGTACAAAAAAGAAAGTAAGTGTGGACAGAGAGGTGGACATCTGTAGATCCCCATTTGCAACAAATACATACGCACATTCTTACAACGTAAGTTCAATGGGAATACCTACAGTATTGTGGAAAGTTTAAACTGTATCAATACTTTCCTTTGATGGAATTCCATCATTTAAATTATTATACCATTTAAATTATTACAGTGTGATGATATAAATACTCTAAACTGATTAAAAAGTTTTTATGACCAAAAAAGATCCCAATATTTTATTGAGTTAATAAGCTATAAAACAAAACAGTCTGTACTGAATGCTCTGTTTTTAAATGGACTTGAAGTACATGTAATATATATTGCATATGTTCAGATATAAAAGCAAACTGTTATTTAAATGCCTCTCCAGGATTGCCTAAATACAGTTTCTATAATTAATAGATTGTTTTTGTAAGAATAACACAACACAGTGTCTTGCAAAAGAAAGATACATAATCCAATTTGTTCTCATCTTCCTTCTCAAGTTTTATCCTTCCCTTTAGTTAATGAAAACTAACCCAAACCCACTTCCATGTCATATTCTCATCACATCTGCTTATATGCTTCAATCCAAGAATAAAGATAGCAGCTGTTACGATGTTTGATTCCACATAATTTATTTAAAACAATATTTTCAATGAAAATATAATCTTAATTGCATTTTTCCTGAATTTCCCATCCTTACTTATATCCAGCAACTTATAAAAACTGTTAGACCCTCTTTCCCTGTCTCTGTTCTCTGGGTACCCAGGTTCCTCTGGTTACTGCAATATGGACAAAGAGTGGTTAGCACTTATGGTACATACAGGGAGGCAAGTTGTTACAGCTAAAGGTTGGGTACAGAAAATTTGGTCCACCTCTGAGGTCTTGTCTCCCTTAACTGGGCAGCAAGCTGGCTAATTCTTCAGAAGGCCAGAGAACTTGGATCCTAAAAAAAGGCCCTGGGTCCTTTGTGGAAAGTATTCAGGTCACTGTTTTTAGAGGCCACGCAGGCCTGGGCCATAATGAATTGCAGACTAGAACAACTTTGGGAGGTCCATAATCCCCTTTCAGCTTCATCTAGCCTTAGGGATGAGGAAAATGCAACAGAAATGACTGAAGATAATGTTCAGAAGTTTGATGGCAGCAGGCTCATAGCTAACATTTTTTTTAACCTAAACAAATTTGATATTTGTTGAAACTCACTTTTTCAATCTATGATCAAGTATTTACAGTAGCAGTTCTTATGTAGTCCTTTATCTACACTTTAACAAACATATGTTCCAGAGTTCCAGACAGCAACAAGAAAGAAAGAAAGAAAGAAAGAAAGAAAGAAAGAAAGGAAGGAAGGAAGGAAGGAAGGAAGGAAGGAAGGAAGGAAGGAAGGAAGGAAGGAAGGAAGGAAGGAAGGGAGAAAGAGAGAGAGAGAAAGAAAGAAAGAAAGAAAGAAAGAAAGAAAGAAAGAAAGAAAGAAAGAAAGAAAGAAAGGGAATAAGCCAGTGCAAACCTGCTAAAACTTAAACAGTAACAATAAAAAGAAGTTTTTTATTAGGAGTACTTCCATTCAGGAAACAAAAGGATATCCATAAAGACAGAATTAATACTCTTTCCTCCTGCTTTTTAAAGTGGACACTGCTATTGCAATGGTAATTTTCTCCTTATATAAGTGAACTCTCTCAGTATAAATACACAAGCCCACGCAGGTGCTACTGGCTTATTCCTGTAACCTTCCTTCGGGATGCTTTCACACAGCTTTCAGGAGGCTTTGATCTTCATGAGAAACAGCGTGTATTCTATGTGCAATGAAACCACAGACTCACAAGCAGGTGTCTTAATTTGGACAGGGGCCACTTCCATGAAATATTCAAAGGAAGAGTCAATATGGCTCCCACTTGACAAATACAATACAGGGTTCATCCAGTGCATACACTGTGGGGCTCAAAGTTTATATAATCCTGTGTGGGAGTACGTTAAAAATATATGACATTTTGGCAATATATGAAATGCAAAGCTATTTTTAAATTATGGGAAAATCATTAAAATGGTCTTATGATTTAGAAATTCTAATGCCTTTTCTCTGCAATCTCTTCAGGCATTTTTACCTGAATGTTAATATACAGATATCTGCTGAGTCCAACCCAGCCTCCCTTCCCCATAAGTCTTGGTAACTAGAGCACTCATAGCCATCTATGTAAGTAAAGAACCCTGAAGCTTTAGCTACATGCACTCTATATTAAATGTCTTTGATTTTAGAAGTTAGGGGTCCCCAAGAGAATGAGATTTGTATAACAGATGACAAGTGTGTGGGCCTAGATTCTAAGTGTAAAAATCCTTTCTCCAACACCTTTTTCTCTGTGTGTGTCTCTCTGTCTTTGCCTCTTTGTCTCTTTTTGTCTCCCCTACCTCTTGTGTGTGCGTATATAAAGAGAAAGCTGAGAAATTTGTAGACAATCACTCTCCTTGGAATATACTCCTAAGGTCAGCTACATCCACATAGCGGGGAGGCCTTAAGTCAATTTCAAAATATCGAAGTCCAGCCCAGGCTGTAACTGACCAGTTTAAAGCCAGAACTCTCCCTTGGCATTTCTGTGTCCTGGCTGTTTTATGAAAAATAAAAGTGTCTGCCCTACCTTCTTCTTACACTGATTGAAATATTAAATGCAATGATGTGTAATAAGATGACTTGAGATCATCACTGTCCATATGCATATGGAAACTTGGCACAGTTACCTCCTAAACCCAGTCTTTGTGTGAGTGGACCATGACACATATAAATGCTTCTGGTGTTGGTTAGAATCAAAGTCAAGGACTCAGGGAAGGATCGTGTGCTGTGTGTACATGATGCATAGAAGTCAGTAAATTCTTGCAGACAACCAAGCCTTCACAGAAAGATACCATAGGAATGAAATCTCACAAGAGCCAATGCAATGATTAAGCATCCCTTCTATGTCAAATGTTGTTTACCTGCTTTTCAGTCATGGCCTGTTCATACTCTGCCTGCACCACATCGAGCTCTGCTTGCTTGGCATCCAGCTCAGCCTGGGCTTTCTGAAGGTCCTGCATGGCCAGGACATGACGATTTTCTTGCACTACCAAGTTGGCCTGCAGGGGATACAGAGAGAGGAAGAAACACCACAAACAACCATAGTGTAGATGCTGGGAGGTCAGCAATGGCACAGACTTACAGCTGTGCTTTATTCTGCCTCTACAATCATCTTAATTTGCATTAATCCAACCCCAAATACTAATGTGAATTTATCATCCATGTTTATAAGCATAAAATTGTAAATCATTAGAATTGAAGTCAGCAAATTAATTTTCTATACAGTTCTAGGTCAAATAGTCTAAAACTATTTCAGGCTACAGAGGCTGAAAGGAAAAATCAAAGCTTTTAGATATTTGTTTAAAAACCATTTCATGAACCACCACTATAGATGACAGACAAGACATGTCCTTCAGTGGAGGCTGAAATATGAACCCCAGAGAAAAGTTTTCATTGTTCTGCCTTTCTGGAGGTCTCTGTTTAATAGTTTCAGTTTTCTATTCTTAAAATAAATGCAATAAAAATATATATTATTATGTTTCCTTGGAAAATATAAAAAGAGTGCAAAGCACTTCTCAAGGCCAACCTTGAGCTATGCTGGACTCTCCAACGATCAGTCTCCGTAATGTCAGAGAACATGGTATCAATTATTTGCTCTGAACTTCTCTTACTTAGAAAACTCAGAGTGTTTGATCCTTTACACAGTTCTGGAAATCTGAGATTAAATAAGTAAATTTTGGTTTATGGTTGGGAAAGATCAAGTGTACAAAGCCAAAAGCCAAAATCAAGCCACAAGATATGATTTTTAAGAATATTAGGGTTTATGTTTGTAATATGTACTCACCTCTCTGTTTGCTAAAGACTTGGTGTCTTTTTAATAGTGATGGCAAATATAAAAATAACATTTGTAAATTCAGCTACTTGAGAAAATGTAGGCTTAGCATAAAATTACAAATAGCTGACATTCTCACCTGATGTGCAAAGAAAAGAGAAGAGAAGAGAAGAAGAGAAGAGAGGAGAGGAGAGGAGAGGAGAGGAGAGG